CTGTTTCCATTTAAGTGTATGTTTGACGCTCTTTAATTTATTTTATAATTTGCTATAGGACCATTTTCAATCACACATTCATACGATAAAATATTTTGCACGTATACCAAAAAAAATTTTTCCCCTATTTTTAACCACACATTCTCCTAAATAATTTGAAATCGACAAATAAACTTTTTAAAGAAATTATTTATAAAATGAATTTTTTTTATGGGGCCACTTTGATCTCTACAATTTTAGAATTAAAAAAAAAAAAAATTAGGCAAAAAATTGTAGAAGTTGAATATTTAAATATAAATAATTAGTGACCTAAGAAGTCAAGACTCAAAATCTTTTGAATCAATTAGCAAAAACATTAGACAAAGAATACAATTGTGAAGGCACTAATTATATACTTAAAATTGATAATGATGCCATTTTATCTCTATATTAATTTAATTAACTATCATTATGGCAGCTTGATTCCTTTCATTATGATAAAACATATAGTCAACTTGGAATCTGTCTATCCACTTGGAATATATTCTATAACATTTATATTTAATTACTTTAATAAAATTAATTTACCAAAGAAATCAATTTAGAGGAAGAGAGAATGTTATTATTATTATTTTTAATCTCATTTAAAATTATTTAATGGTCAACTAAAAATTAATTTAATTCCCAAAACTCTCTCTCCCATTGATGTTGGAGTTGACATCATAGGCAAAGACTTCATAAGCAATTTTTTAAAAATTAATTTAACCTTAATGTTATCAAAACTTTACCAGCAATAAACTGATTAAGTTTAGATGCTTGAATTTGTTAGAATATCAAATATTTTTGTTAAGGAAAAGATTTGAAGAACTAAAAATCGCAATTCATAATGACAAGATACACGGGAGTGAAAAGAAGGCAAACATCGAGAGGGTAATAGAATGGCACAGTCAAGCGAATAAGTGAAAACAAGTCAATAGGGACAACATTAAGAAGAATTCGACTTAAAATTCGAGGCTGGATTGAAAATCCGAATCCCGAAAGTAGTGATTTAAGAATCTCAAGAATATTTTTTCATTATGCAATTCAAGTCATTAAGAAAAAAAAAACTTTTGAAATAAAAAAGCCTAATTGAGAAGGCAGTAGATAAAGTTATATGATTTGATATTGCTTTAAAGGCAGACAATAAGCATCAAGGGTCTTGCATTTGCCTTCCAAGGTCTTTGCCAAACTCATAAATTTGGCTCCCTTCAACCCCACATCATTGGAGTATTTTCAATCATGGTGTAAGATAAATCTGAGCTGTAATTTAGATATTTTTAAGTGGCCGAAAATGTCTCCAACAAAGAGATGCAAATTACATTATGAGTCCGTTTGTTTCCAATTAAAATTGAAAATATGGCCGTTATTGGGTCTCACTTGTCTAATAAAAGTCAACAATAACGGTTAATTTTTCAATTTTAATCCGATTTTAATCTCTACCGAAAACGCCATATATGTATATTTAAATATATTTATTTGAGCAAAATTTGAATTTAGATTCACCAAGATGTAAATGAGAATACAAAGTGATTTTGAAGATACTAATTTATACCCAATTTTATACAATCATTGAAGATGCTATTAGTAAATGAAATTTACACCCAATATCTAACACAACGTTTTTACCTTTACTATTAAACATATGTTAGCGTATTTTGTTACTAGTCAAGGACATCGCGGTGCTAATTCTCGTGCCCATGCACATAACTCCTCCAACACAACCAGGAACGGATAGAGGGGGGCTGGGGCCCCCCAGTCTCCCCCAACTAAATTTTTTTTAGTTAGAAAAAAAAATCATGTGTAATTTTTTTTTTTTTTTACATATTAGCTCGGCCTGTAATTCGATCCTAGATTCGTCCCTACTTTCAGTGTAAAGCCTTTTGTGTATATTTTTCTCTCTACGGAGGTGCTGTCAATCATCTTCAATATGTCGGTCTACTGTTANTGGATGATTTTTTATTTTTATTTTTTTATGATAAATATTATTTTTTAGCCAGCCAACGATGATGTGGATGATGATAATGGCCTTTGAATGTGATTCCTTTGCTTCCTTCTTAAGCCATTTTCATCCAATCATCATCTCTTTTATGCTTTACCTAATTGTAAATTGCTTGGCAACAATATTCTAGTGATGTTAACCTTATCTTGTTTGCTGTGCGCTCTCACTTTCAGCTTCCCTTTTTTATACCATAAAGGAGAAATTATCATAATTTTCCTTTTCTTTTTTTGTTGGCACAATAATATTACTCCGTTAACTTATCATGAAATGGGTATTTATTCAGTTGAATTACGTCAAACTAAATAATTAAATTATTAAAAATAGTTTAATAATATAAATTTATTTATTTGTATATTGTTTAACATTTATTGAAAATTTTAGTTAATTTTTAATGGGTATCACTATGAATCGCTTTATCCGAAAAGCTCAAAAATAAAAAGAAATTTAATTTCAAGAAAAAAAAATAGAGGTAATAAATTTTTTTTACTGTGCAAAAAATGACGTGTAATGTCATATCAAAGTCTTTACACTAAAATTCATAAAAATTAATTTTTTTTGTTGGTCATTTCCTCCTCTCTTTTAGGGATGAAGACAGATCTTTATTCAATTTTTTAATTTCCAATAAACTTTATAATTACTTTTAGGAAACATTTAGGTTCCAAAGGAAAATAAATCTCTTTAAACTTTATCGCGGACTATACTTTTTAAATTATACCTATGGGACATAGTCAAAATAACATATAATTTTAAATAAAATATAAATAGAAAAACTGAAAGTTTTTAAATTATTTGTAAATAAATGTACTACTTGTTAATAACAATACAAAGAATATTGTCAAAAGACTGATTGATGGGAACACACGCAGCAGTTGAAATTACAAAACTCACGACATATTAGATCAAACCCAAGAAAACTAAGAATCAACATTTGAAAAGTTCAATCCAATAAATTATTGAACCAAAAAACCAAAACAATAGTCAACAATATCTTGAACCCGTGATAAAAAAAAACATATGAACCTTATTTAAATTGATGAACGCTACAATAATTTAATTCTTAATAAGTTAGGAATTAATTCAATGAAGAATGGGTAGAAAACAATATGACTTGGAATAATATATCTCAAATTGTATATTTTTACAATGAAAAAAATAATCATATTTATATGGAATCTCTAAAGCCTAATTAAAAATGGAATAAGTCTTAAAAGATATAAAAAAAATATCATTCAAGAATTTTTAATTAAAATAGAATTTTGTGCGAAATTTGGAAAAGGCGCGTCCAGAATGATGCTATGTGATCGTATAGGTGTAGAACATGTGGTCGCATAGGCTTTCTTTGACCTTCAGTGAGGTATCGGTAAGGATGCATGCGGCCGCATTCCGATATGCTATGCGGTCGCGTAGTTTTGTCATTCAGCTTCCTCACTTGTTGCTTGTACCAAATTGATCCACCTTCTTCCGTCTTCCATACCGAATACGAAATTTGTCATTTTGCTTGTTGTGGTCGATGTTTCATCTATAGTACTTTGAACAAGAAATCCTATGGCTTCTTTAACCTTCTTTGCTCCTGACCTAGTCATTGATTCTTCATTCACGGTCAATGGGTTCTTATCCTTGGTAGATCTTGTACCATGGTTCTCATCACTAATGACATTAGTTTTTGAGAGAGAGAAAAAAAAACTTCATCCTACGTTGCTAGGGAGCATATCTTTCGCTCAACCACCAATGCTTCTCTAAGGCAACGACAAAGATGCAACATTTTGGCTACCTTGTGAATCTCTCTCTCTCTCTCTCTCTTTGAGAAATGATATGTTCTAAATTCTAGCCTTACTTCGTATCGTCATCGGAACTAAAGCCTTAAACTTAGTGGAGACTTCAATAGTTTGAATTTGAATAAAAAACTATGGCCTCATTGCATCTAGTCAGGGCTTCAATATTTATTGTTCATCAAACATACTTTTTATATTATGATATGATTATTAGCACATTTTGTATGACTAACAGCTTATAATCACTTAAAAGCATTCTAAAAATTATCTCAAACCCGGCATGATCTATTTACACTATCATTAGCTCGCCCTATCTGTGCTGGCCTAGCGCAACTGACTCATAAGGGTTGGTCAATCCATGATACGGCTCATGACTCGATTGGTCTGTAGTGAAGCCCAACACGTTTTGATACTTTGGCGCATTACTAAACATATTTTGACTGGCCTCATTGAACTCATACAATATTGATCAATATTATTAACTACCCGATCGATAATGTTACTTTTCTCATAATTTATTGCATGTCCAGTAAGTTTTAACTGGATATTATCGAACATGAATTCTACCATGCGTCTTTCTCCTTAATTAGATTCGGTCCAAGTTCCATCACACATCTTTTCCTAACTTCGTTTTACATTATTTAGGGGGTGTTCGGTAGAAATTAAAATCAGATTAAAATTGAAAAACTAGCCGTTATTGTTGACTTTTATTAGATGAGTGAGACCCAATAACGGTTATATTTTCAATTTTAATTGAATTTTAAGTTTAGCCAAACATGCTCTAAATAGTACCCAAGGGCATGTTTGGTAGAAATTAAAATCATATTAAAATTAAAAAATTAGTCGTTATTGTTCATTTTTATTAGACGAGTGAGACCCAATAACGACTATATTTTCAATTTTAATTGAATTTTAATCACTCTCAAACATGCTCTTAGTCATTGTTTGACATCCTTTAATTTATTTTAATTTTTGTTATATGATTATTTTCAGGCACACATTCACAAAATAAAATATTCTACACATAAATTCAAAAAATTTTCTTATATTTTAAGCACGTATTCTCTTAAAAATACTATCTAAAACTCACTTTTTTAAAAAAGAAATGAGAATCAATCAGTGGCATAAATTGAACGTGACGAACACGAGCATACAAATCTGAATTTAAATTTTGAATAATTTTACAGTGGAAGGACAAGAAATTTTTTAGCATGGTACCTACTGTCTGTACTCTGTACTATTGTGTGTGACCTAAAATCCCGCGTAGAGTGAGGGTCCCATGAACAAGGTTCCACAGGCTTTTCGAGCTCCTACAAATACCCGACACTCTCATCCCCTGGAATTTGCACTAAGCCAAAGAGCCCCCATTAACAATATCCATCCATCAACCTCTATTCTCCCGTAGCTTGCAACTGTCATTCACTAGTCTCTTCTCTTTTGGATGCTGTTGTTTGCTTCAGGTAATCATACATGTTTAAGATCGTGCATGGCCTAATTATGGATCTTTTTTTTTGAAAATATTGTTGCTGACTTGGGATTTTATTTTGTTCTGTTCTGATTATTCATTTAACTTCGTGCAGTGGAAAGAATATGGGTGCAGTGAGCAAGAGCCTAGATTTTTCTTCTTCCCTTTTAAACGCAGATCATCGGGAGGAGGCCGCCCCAGTAATGGAGAAACAAGGCATAGTAACTATCCTTTGTTCAGATTGTGAAAAAAGCCAAACTTCATCTTTAAGAAGAACACTATCTGCTGATATGTCTTCTAAGAAATGGCTTGCACAAAATGGGTTTTTCTCCCCATTCAAAAAGATTTCGTCACCATCTGATCAGGAGCTTGTTAATCAATCACCCCATGATTCTTCATCAGACGGTGAAGAACAATGCATGAAAGAGAAGGACGATCGTGGTGTTGGAAAGCCCTCAGCACAAGATATTTGGGGTTCAATTTTATCGAAAAAGAGTGAAGATTCTACCAAGATTTCAGCACCTTATATTCACCCTCTTGTGAAGAGATCAGCCAGTTCTTTGAGTGAGAAGAGTTTAGAGATTTGCACTGAAAGTCTTGGATCAGAAACTGGTTCTGATTGTTTTTCTTCGTACCCGGCTTCAGAAATCAGCGATACAGATGAACAAAAAGAAGATCATGAATATGAACAAAAATTGCAGCAACAACAAGTGAAGGAATCGAACTCGTTCGAAGATTTTCATGTTGTCAAGTACAAGAATTCGCCACCTCGACCTTTGCCGCCCCCAATTCCTTCAATATCTGATGGAACTTCAATCCGAATACAATCTCACCGCAGAAACGGTAGGCTTGTTCTTGAAGCTGTTTCTGTCCCACCAAGAAACAATTTTTATGTTCAACGCTTTGACGGCCGCCTAGTTTTAACTTTGATCAATAGTCCTATTTCCCAAGAGCGACGCGATAAAACGGTGGAGGAAAATAAGGTTCGAAAATTCAATGAAGTTTTCGATGATATGGAAGAGATTGATCAACATGTTGAGGAGAAAATAAATGACGGTGGTTATGAGGAGGAGAAGGTGGCCGAGGAGGCGGAGGAGGAGAGAGTTAAGCAAAATAATGTAGCCAAGGGGGTGGAATTTGTTATGGATCAAAACTCAAGATCATTGCCAATTGGTGGGACGATGAAGAAACTTATGAAGCTAGGCAACAAGAACCCAAAATGGTCTAACAAAATCGTCAACATGAAGGAGGTTGAGGACCTACCAATTTCACAATCACTCCCACCGCGGCCCAGCCGGGTGCCTCGTCTGATTCCATCTCTACCACCGCCAGCCACCACCTCCCTCAACTCCTACCACTACTTCTGGCGGAGCAAAACCACCTTCGGCACCCAATTCACACCCCTCAAGAACAATGCTTGCCTAGCCAATGGTGAAAAAGCATATGATCATCAAAATATGGTGCTCATCAAAGGTAACAAGGACGAATATTATGTTCCATTATCAATGGGATGCAAGAAGCCAAGGAGGTCCATGTTGATTTGGGAGCCTTACTGCGTTGCCACCTCCTGATGATCATGATTAATCAAGATTTCTCATAAATCCAAATTTCCATTGACTATCCATTTTTCCTATGATTATGATCACCTCAAATCCATCTCAATCTCCCTATGTTAATTATATAAATTAAGCACTCTGTCGAAAGAGACTCGTGTAGCCAAATAAGCATGGAGGAGGAGGAAGTGGAGGAGGAGGAGGAGGAGAGAGTTAATGCTTTGATCATGTTAGCATATCGAACAAACAAGTTTTTAGTAATTTCGTCACGAGTAGGCTTATATTTATGTTACTATTTCCTATTCATGTAATAAAATTTATTAAATTTTACCTTCACGGTTGATCTACCTTGACCCTCTTTCTTTACTCAAATTTCAAAGACAAGTATGGAAACGTTGAGGTAGCGATTTATCGTAGTTACTAAGTCTCTGTTTGGTAGGGATTAAAATTTGATAATTAGTAAATTTTAATAAAAGTAGATGAAATGTGTGGTTGAAAGTTACGGATCTCATAAGATATGTGATTAAAATTAATTATTGACATTGGATTAAATTAAAATTTGGATTTTAATTAGACCAAACAGGGGCTAAGACCCCGTTTGACCCTCATTATTTGAAATTATAATTTTCGGAATAATGTTTTATTGAAAAATGTGTGGTTAAAAAAAAGTTTTGAGTTTACTTATAATATTATTTTATTAGAAAATATATGATTGATAAAAAAAGAGAGAAATTGATTATAATTTTAAAAAAAAAAAAAAAAAAACCCTCAGCACTTTGTTTCATAATGGAATCAGCTTTTGCTTTTCCTCAGCTTTTGCAAATTTTGGCCAATGGTGTGAAGATAACAATCATGTCTGGTCCTATATTTGATCTTAATGTTTGGAACATCATAATCCATTAAATGCCCTTCAGATGTTCTTGTCTCCCCCTTGGTTTAAGGTTCAGATGAGGATGTCATGTGACATACTTATTCAGCCTTAAATAATTAATAATTTGCAAGATTTATAGCTATTTTTGAAATATTGATAATGAAAAAAACAATTTCTCTTAAAGAAAATATTGTTAGAAAATAAAAAATATTTTGTACAGACAAAAACATCTTATTTAATTTATGTCTAGAGTTCAAGTGAGCTGATGGATCTTTTGTTGCATAAATTGAGAAGGCTCGAATAGCTTTCTCTCGGGCGATACCTCGACTGGCAAATAATCCACTGGACTAAATGGAACTGAATGTGTATGATCGAGTAGAGTGGCTTGGGGCTTAGAGAAATGACAGAAATGTCCGATACAGTCTCTTGCAACCTATGGTGGAGACTTGGAAACCAAACTTCTTTGTGGGAAAAGGCAATAAGGGCTCAAGATTTGGTCACATGGAAGCATAATGGACATTGTAGAAGAACAAATAGCTTTGAAAATCGGTGAAGAAAAATCAGCTTTTAGCGCAATCCTCTGGGAATAAGGGGTTTTCTTTTTAAGTTTTAAGGTTCACAAATTGTGTGGACCAAAATGCGCACAACTGACAGAAAGCAATCTCCTTCAAGATATTATTATTTTGTTGGAGGCCATGGAAAGAACGCATCTCATTCTTAGTAGACGATGTCCTGTAAAGAAAGAAACACATCACAATAGTATCCAAATGCTAATGCTGTCAAGCAACAAAAGCAACTGAACATCTATTTCTATGTGGGGAAATTGCAACATGTGGAATTACTTCAAGCACAAATTCCAATTTAAATACTTCTGCATCAGAAATGTGGTGCAAGGAGTTTTAGCATTGGAGGTTCTCAAATAAATAGAGTAAACAGGTACCTAAGATATCGATGATAAGACAAAAAAAGATAGAAACATAAAAGATATAAAGGCATGTCATTGTCATGTCTAAGAAAGTGTCTATGGGTTGAGATCATCTTCTCATTCTTCATTGTCAACGCCACCATATCCTCCATCCTCATGAACAGGGACGGATTTAACTAATTTTTTTTTTAGTTAGAAAAAAAATTATGTAAAAAAAAAAATCACGTGTAATTTTTTTTTTTTT